TAGAGATCTAAAACCATCATCTAAAACCATGGCCTTTAGGCCATGAAGAACTCAAGTAAAGTTCTCCATATTCCTCAGAGTGAAAGGTTTATCCCTACTAATATTACTCAAAAGCATTGAGGACTCTCCTTCATAGGGTTGCTATGAGTTGCCTGCGACTCAACAGCACTGAACAACATTACTCAAAATCAAGATGAAGAAAGTACAGATGTTCAAAACAGAAGTGTTTCTTGGAGGTGAGCCAGGCCTTGGAACATTCCAGCAGCGCAAGTTATGGGGGCGGACACAGCTCCTGAGGGAAATAGGACTGACATCATGGCTTGGTAAAACGCAATAGCTGGGAATTTTGTGATAAACTTCTAGATTTACTCAATGCAGAAATGGATTCTATGGTGTGACAGTTTCAACTGGTTACTGGTTTTAACATAAGGTCATTCACCTGTCATTCAAAAGGCAGACTTGCTGTCCCTGGTTGGCGGACCTTCACTGATGGGAAAGACTGATGTGGGTTGTGGAACCCATTAACTCACACCATGGACGAATCAAAACACGTGTGGGAAACACATTAGCAAACCTTCCCGACCTAAGATTTGGGAATCGCATCTTAGATACAAGAATCAAACAAAGATGCTGATAAACTGGACCAGAACTTAGAGTGTCTCTCTAGTCTGTCTGCAGCAGTGCCCTAAGGCAGTCCTCTGTGGACCTCCGGGAGAACTGGATCATTCCTCCACACGATCTTCGTCTCCCACCTGTGACTTCCACCGCAAACGTCACCATGTGGGGGAGGACGGAGCTATTTCAGCTGCTTGTTCCTCAGAGAGTACCATCCAAAAGAGGACAGCTTAGGGGGTGGCACGAAATCCAGGCAAAGCTCTTACCTGATGAGGGAGGTGTGTCCAGGGTATAAAGAATTCTCCGCAAACAAATAAAAAAGGATCTAATCAAGAATGAGCCAAAGCTCTGGGAAGACATTTCTCCAGGGAAGATGAACAAATGGCCTCTGCACAGAGAAGTGTAATGTCATGAATTCCCAAGCAAAAGCAGTGCTGTCAAGACATGCTTCACACGCACCAGGCCATCAGAGCACAGGCCATGGGCTTCCCTCCAGGCACGGCTGCTTCCCAGAACACTCTAGGGGTTCCTCAAAAGGTTAAAGGGTCACCCCGTGACTCAGCAATCCCACTCCCTTTTACCCACAGGCCAAGACGACTGAAGACATGGCCACATAAAAATCTGGAACAGGACTGTCCACAGCAGCCTGCCTCATTAGCCCAATAGTGGATCCAATCAGGTGGCCACACAGACAATGGTAATGAAACGGAAGCCAACTACAGAGAATACTGCTTAACAACGAGGTGCTCAGATCGCCCCGCCCTTGCTGACCAGTGTAAAGCCCCACTGACACAAACCCTCCACAGTGGCAGCCACAGACAGCAAGGATTTCCTTTTAGAAGAGGGTGGGTGCCCAGCCTGGCTGTGCACTTCAAAGGCGTGAACTGTGTGTTGGGCACTGGACCTTGACAAAGCTCTCAAAAAGGGCTGCTTTGCCAGCAGATGGTGCTCAGAAGATGGGGAAAGGGTGGGGACGCCTGCAGTACATGAACAAGCCCAGGAGGCTGATGGGCATCTCAGGACAGATGTACACAAAGGGTTAAGGGGAATGAGAACTGCCCAGGAAACCTGTACTCAAATGACACTGAAGAGTTAAAAATGAAGATCCCTCTGGAAAGAGAGTGGTCAGCTATTGCTGGGGTCCTTGTGCACTCAAACACTTCCTGTCCCACATATCCTCGGAACACAATAGCCGACTCCATCCTGGTGGTCACCGAGTGGACATCAGATCAGTACCCTACTGGAGCCCACCACACTGGGGGCTGGGCGGCTCAGCCTGAGGCCAGCTCTGGCCTTCCTGATGCTGTGTTGGCTCTGGGCCCACAGACGCTCTCCCTCCAAGGCCAGGCCTTACCCCATCAATCAGCAAGGCTGTTCATCTTTACAGGTCCCCCTGCCTCCTCTCCACAACCTAAGCCATCATGTCACTCACATCCGTCTTCACAGAAGTTCTACAAGACCAATTCCAACCTGACCCGCCGATAGCAGTGTGGTAACTTAGATTTCCACCACAGGCTGGGTGGGAACAAGCAAACCAAGTGGGCGCAGGACTCAGGATGCAATTGGTCAGTTTTGCCATAGCACCAGGTTTAGATTTAGGAAAGAATCGCACTACTAGCAGAGAAGCAGCAACTCAGCACCAGTCTTTTTTTTTTTTTTAAATTTTATTATTTTTATTTCATTATTTTTTGTGTCTACCGTCAAATCAGATCTGACTGGTACAGGAGGAGATTGTTCCTCCTTCTCCAGCAGAGCATCTGGTGGATTCGAACCATGCATCTCTGAGATTGCAGTTGCAGCTTCTTGCCACTAGGCCACCAGAGCTCGCCTAAATTTTATTATTTTTGTGTGCGTGTACCGTCAAATCAGATCTGGTACAGGAGGAGATTGTCCCTCCTTCCCCGGCAGAGCATCTGGTGGATTCGAACCGTTCACCTCTGGGATTGTAGTTGCAGCTCCTTGCCACTAGGCCACCAGAGCTCCCCAACTCAGCACCAGTCTTTCAGGGCCACCTCACACCGGGACTGAGCCTTGAGAAGGGTACAGCGGCAGCAGGAACCAGACTCCCATGTGACACAGCACTGCCCAGGGATTACTGTCCCGGGGCTGCAGCCAGTGCCTCTGCCCAAGCCTGCTGGAGGGCAGGACCAGGAGCTCCGCCACTGTGCAGAACCAGCCCCTGGCATGAGGCTGACTGGTTCTGGGACTGCCACAGCTTACGGGAGAAGCGTGGGAGTGCGGGACACTTTATGAAGGCCAAACAGCTTCCATCACTCTTCCGCTGTCCTGACAGAACCTCAGTTATCATCTGAACCTCTCTCGCCACCAGCACGACCACTGAGTACGGTCCCCATGGCCATCAGTGACAGCGGCCAGCAGCAAGCGTGCAGTGAGCACCTTGGAGGAATGAACACAGGCTGTGATTGCAGAAGGCATAGTGAACTGGAAACTGGTCTGTTGCTGGGAAAAGTGCCCCCTTGTGCAGAGGGTGGACACATCACCCCCACACTTTTCAGTGGCCGTGGCATACACAGCACACTGCTAAGGCCTTACTTCCCGCCTGGAGCAGCCCGGGGTCCAGGGCCCTAAGACGGCAGGTCTGTAACCTGTCTGCTGCTGTGCCAGCTCCTGACAACCACCCACAGCATGCTGCATACTCCTGCTGGGTGCTGAAGTGCGACTGTATCAACCATCAAACAACAAAGCCCCATCTTCTAGGAATGGAGTTACCAAAGCTGTGAGCAAAATCTCGCCCCAGGAAAGCTCCACAATTGGGGGTGCAGGCCCCCAAGTCACCGTCTGATCCCAGCCCTGTTTTCTCCATCTGCTCCAGCAGGTGTACTCTGCTCAGAACAGCGAGTCTGAGGGTGCACACATGACGCGCAGAGGAGCTCCTGGGGCTGTTAGGGGTGGAGGTAGAGCCTCCAGGGAGAGGACTGCTCACCTGTTCCACATTCCGCAGGACCTCACATCTCAGGCCCAGGATCAGAGAACCCACCAGAAGGGCGGGACAGTGCTTATATTGACAAGTCCATCAGTGCAAGAGAACAGCAATAGGGCTTGTGGGACAGCTTCCTTGGCCACCTCGGGGATGGTGCAGTCAGAGCACAGAGAAGAGGAAGTTCCTTTTCTGCACAAAGTATCACCGTCAGCTAAGCTTCCGTCACACATCCCCTTCCGGGCCAATCAACGCGCTTACTTACAGACCATACCACTGCCTAGACAAAGAGTGCACACTTGCCAGGGTGCACCTGGCAACCAGGGGCCAGTACAGCCTGGTGCATTCCTGCCTCAATCAGTAAACTGGGGACGTGGTGGCTAGCCTGAGACCCCCAGACACGTGGACCCTGCCGTAGCCTGATTCCTATGCTCCCTGCCCTCTTGCCACCTCTCTAGTCATCTGCCTCTGCCTCTCAGGCCTGCTGTCCAGGGCATCCTGGGTCACTTAAGTGCCCACAAGCAACAGCTGCCACATGGGACCAGAGATCCCTCTGTGTGGCCCTCACAAGCCAGATTCTGGTGGCAGGCGCTAAGTTCACTATACCTTCTCCCCACCAGGTTGACCTTGGCTTTCCTGAGACACTCCTTTAGGCCTGCAGAGGTGACCACACCCCTCTGTGCCCTATCTCTATGTACTAAGCAGCTCCCAACTTGCCAGCAGATACCTGGACATTACCCATCAGTCACCCCCCCTTTGGTCTGTGGGGGCCAGAGAACATCACCGTTGACAGGCTGACTCTCTCCAAGAGCCTTGAGGTGGCACGGCTTGGGGACAGTGCCCAACTGGCCAGACAGGGGCCCTCACTGGCACCAGAACTGGAGCTGCACTGACCACGCTTCCCTGACACACCCGTGAGCAGAGACCACTCCAGGGATCTGCCTCTATGGGTGCAGGCCACAGTCAAACATGACAGGTGTGGGCCCGGGCCTCCACAAGGCCAGGCGTGGCTGACACTGCTTCTCTCCCATGACGCACAGTCCAAACACAGCACCCAACTCAGCTGCAGAGCCACAAGCTGCCAGGGAAGCCTGTTCTCCACACAGGGTTTTGGCAGACCCGAGCCCCAGAACCTGTCCTCTCGCCCAAGTCTCCGCCGGGAGACCGTGTTCAGGCCTACTGCCGGCACATCACCCAGTCTGAGCCCTTGAGGAAGGACCCGGGTGGCTGCGTCTCCCAGGGTTGACCTAGCTAGGCAGGGTACCAGCCCTCAAGAAGACACAGCACCATGTGCGTAAGTCACCAGGTCAACCCATGAGCACAGACGGGCAGCAAGAGAGTGAAGCTGCGCTGGACACACCCAAGCCTCTAAGAACCAGTAGACGGCAAGCTCATGGTCCCCAGAAAGTACAGGGAAGGGACACATGCCCCGCCCCCAGACCCTCACCTCCAAGGTGCAGCAAGTGGACCAGCAGCTCCAGGAAAGGCCACCCTGTGCTGTTTCCTCCCACCTAGTAAGTGAAAGAGACGAATCAGGAGCAGCCCAGAGGGGCGGCCGGGCAGCTTCACTGCTTTCCCTCCCCTACAGCCTTCCCACCCCACTGCCCTCCACCGAACGAACAGACGACATGGCTCCATTTCTACACACAGTTCTAGTTTATTATGGCAAAGGTGAAAACATCACCTTCTCCACAACAGCAACCAGTAGAGTTTATCTCAAAAATAACTCGGTACAAAACAGGGCTGTTTCAGAATTTTTTTTTTTTAAAAAAAAGGAAAAAGAAATAACCTTTACATGAGTTTTTTTTTTTAAATTTTTTTTTTTTTACATGAGTTTTTTTAAATGCTATCTTAAAACTTAAAGGAAACACATCCCTCCTGGGCTGCCCAGCCGAGGCCCGCTGCCCCATCTCTCCAGAAGCACAGGCGAGTCATCTGGGTCCTGTTCCTGCAGACGTGCTGACAGTTTAGCTGGTGTCCATCTGAAACAAAGAAGATGTCCCCGTTGAGTAGGCTCCAAGCCGTGCTGAGGGAGGCCCACAGGCTCATCCACCCAGGCACCTGCCCCAGGGTCTTACCCTTGCGTTATAAGCATCCAACTGGGCATCTAACTCCTCAGCCGAGAGCTGCTGGTTTGAGCTTCTGCCAGGCCCTCGGCCTCGTCCCCGGCTGCCTCCTCGTGAGCCTCTCCGGGTACCACCTCCAAAGGCCCCAGAGCCACGGTTTCGAGCCATGCCGCCTCTGCTTAGATTCTGTGCAGGTCTTCGCTGTGTGTCAATCTGTGATGTCACCAGCTGGATATTCATGGGACGGCCTGTGGGAAAGAACACATGAGAGGTTGTTGAGATGGGGGGGGTCGTCTGTGACTAGTGCAGGAATCACCACACCCTGGCGTGCATGCAAACACCTGAAAGGTGTCTCTGCACCTCTAATGCATCTGACAAACACAGGCCTGAGAGGACTGCCTGGTGGGAGAAGAGCCCCTCACCAACACCTCATCCTTCCGTGTGTCAATCCAGGGGAGCTGCTGGCTAAGTGGCCTGGGACTCTGGCAGGGGGACAGGTGTGGGTGACCTCATGGAAGAAGGACCAGTACCTTTGTCTTTATGACTACAGCCCCGCACTCAGAGGTGTACTATGGTGGTTCTCAGAAGGCTTCACAGAAGTGAATCTTCCGGAAGGAGGAGGGGAGGGATGTAGCTTGCTGGATGGGGGTTCACAAGAGGTTGGTCCAGATGTGGGGGCAGCATGAAAGGTGACAGAATGGGAGAGAGAGACAAAGGGGCAAATGCAAAGCGTCCCCAGCCATGGGGGCAGTCATATTTTTCCATCACAGTACCAGTCCCAACTGCATCAGGAGGGTCTGGCCCTTGGTGAATCCTAACATGAACACTCACCATCTAACGGGACACCATTGTACTGCTTCATGGCTTTCAACGCGTCAGCCTTTCTTTCGAAGTGCACGTCGGCTGTTCCTAAACTCCGGCCGGAGCGGTCATAGTGCACAGCGGCCTTCTTCAGAGTACCAAACTCGGCAAAGAGCTCCTGGAAAGGCAAAAACAAAGCCGTTCACCCTCAGGTGCCCAGGACTATGCTTGCTTTGGGGTGTGATCTGCATCAGGGCTATTTTCCTGGGAAGCTGACACACACAGGGAAGGGAATGGGGATGGGAACCAGGGGAAAGGGATGGGGCAGGTGAGGCCACGGTCTTGTGCACTTGGCAGTGGGCATCGACCTGAGGGCAAGATGCTAAGCCCATTGTGGAGAACACAAGATTAAGCCACAATTGTCTCTGATGAAGGAGCCATCCAAGAACAGTGAAGACCAAGATCACAGCCAGAGGAGCCTGTCTGCACAGTGGCCCAGCCCAGGTTGCTGGTGAGGAGCCCTGACCCCCACCCGCCCCCAGGCAGGTTCTGTCTCACCTTTCCCTCTCCTCCTACTCAAGCCTGCTGCAAAGGCTGAAGTCAAGCGCTGCCATGGAAACTGCCCTGACCTCAGGCAGGCTGGGAGTTGGAGAGGGAACCCAGAGTGTGGGGCTACTCCGGCCGCAGGCACCCAGCGGGAAGTGTAGTTCACCAAAAGCGGTTTCCAGGGGATGCCAGAAACCACCTTAAAAAGAGCGTGGAGACGCTGTGAGTGCTCAGCGGCCCTGCCGTCCTCCCGTGACAAGGCCACGTGCCTGGGCTCCAGGATGTTGAACCCAGGATGGCCGGCACCCTGACACCCAGCCCTCTGCAAGCCTGAGCCCGGGGGTCCATTTCTCAGACAGAAAACGGGCTTAAACGTACTCGGGGCTCACTTCCAAAGACAGAAGGAAAAAAACCAACGCAGCCCCAAAAAGACATATCAGGAGGTTCAGCTGCAGGTGGTGCGGTCACAAAGACGAGGACACGGGCGGGGGACACGGACAGGCCAGAGCAGGGGCCCGACAGGAGGGGGCTCGAGCACCGCCCGCTGCACGCGGCGCCGGGGGGACGGGGACTCGGGGCGCCCGCACCAGCCCGCCCGTCGGGACGCGCCCCCGGACCTGAATGTCGGCGTCGGACACCCCGAAGTCCAGGTTGGACACCAGCAGCTTCCCGCCCGTCTCCACGCCCGCGCCGCCGCCGAAGCCGCTCTCGAACAGGTCGTGCTGCCATTTGTCTGGAAGCTGTTTCGGCTGCAAACGGAAAAACACAGTCAGCCTCACGGGGAAGC